CTCATCATCATCAGTATCATCATTGAGAGTGTCTAAAGGTAAACTGGCTAATATGGTGAGGAGGAAGGAAACTGTATCTTCACAGTCATCAGCTCAACCCACTAGTGAACCACCCCCATCAGCCACAACCACTTTAAACTCGTTAAGTTTATTATCGGCTTATGATGATGAATCCTCTGATTCAGATTAATAATTGATTATATTTTATGTTAATATTTTGCACCAGTTTAAGTAAGTGTAGGATACATCCCTGTTTGGAGGTGGTTATATTTCAGAAGGCTCAGTCTCACATATCAATGGTGTTTGCTAAAATTACAGTTAGTTTGTAGTAATAATTGAAATATTTACGGAAAAATCTCCACCTATGGGTGGGGTTTCAAACTTTGTATAAAAACCCTGCCCTGGTGTCACCGCATTGGCCTATTTTCTAACTCCTAGAAGATACACCATATTTGTTCAGTTTCAGCGATGTCGACCCACACACCATGATATAAGTACAAATAACAACATTAGTTAATAATCAGCAAGTACATTTAATTTAATTTTCCAGCTGTATGGTATTTGGAACCCGAGGGCAAAGCCCGAGTGGTTCCAAATAGCTGTAATCCCAACAAAGAGGCGTGTAACTGATTTAAACTAACTGTGAAGTAATGATTGTGCATACTAGCATGTATAACTATGTATTGTGCATATGTGGTTATCAAAGCAATGTCTTGTGCAATACCAAGAGTAGATAATTATCTACTCTTGGCAATACTAATGGGCTCCAAGCTATTTGGAACCATCGTTAGCAGCTAAAACATCAAAAAGAATTATGCATAGGTTAGTTCAAGTACAAATAGCAGCATTAATTAATAATCAGCAAGTGCATGTAAACTATAGTTATTGTTAATCAATAAGGATACTCTTACAGTTCTGATTTCATTGAATCAGCTATCTGGGACAATATTGGATCTTTTATTTTGTGGAATATGCTAATCAGATTAAGCAAATACTGGTGCTGGTCACTGGATGCTTTGAGGTGACGTCTTAATTCTCTTAGAAGTGCCTGTGCTCTCTCATATACAGGATTGGTGGTTTTGATAGCTTCATCAAATACATCATCACTGATCAGTGATATGCAATGAGATGATACTCTTGTAATATTATGCTCTGTGGCTATAGCATCACAAAGTTGAGGGAAATGAGATTCGAATATACCAATCGGCTATAATACAATAATATTAATGTCCATTAGATAATGATATCAAAATACTAACAGATTTTTGAGTAGTAACTGATACCAAATCAGGTATAATGGTTTTATGTAACTGATCCTCAGCTTTTAATGGCACCTAATGGAGATAGCACAACAATGCTATTATACAAAGGTAGTGCATAATAATTACCTTTTCAGTAAACCAAATCTTTTCTTTCTCTGTAAGTGGTTGATATGTTGTGTTTACTCTACAAGTAACCTCCAGGTAGCTCGTTTGATACTTTGCTGGTGTGAGATAATGAAGCTTAGAAGAGACAGGGCAGTCATCACAGATGTAACGCAGTGATCTTGATACGGAATATTTGGGTAATTCTTCAAAACCCCTTCCAATACAATTCTGAAGAATGTTCTCCACTTCTTTAGCGGAATCTTCCAACAGAACTAAGATATCTTGACATACATTGGCAAGAGGAACTGGATCAGAATGAGAGGCGGGACGATGGACATTGATCTGAATGGCATCATGTTGATCTGTTACTGTTAAATGTTCAATGCTTCTATTCCTTTCCTCCTGGTAACGAAAGGTAACACGATTCCTATACACTCCTTCCTCAAGGTACAGGGTTGTGTTTGGGTGAGCAGCTATAACAGCAACAAAACGAGTGAAGAAACCAGGAGGAACAAAACCAGTTTCAAATTTAATGTGAAGTGGGGATGCAACCTCAACCTCTTTGCTGTGTGTAGCTATTGTATTATCTTGGCACAGCTTGAGAATGGCAGGAATGAAATATTGCTTGTATCGTGAGGAGCAGATGTCTTGATCTTCAATGATAACTTGAGCAGCAAGACGAAAGTGTAGCAATACTTCAATGAAATCTTCAGGCTTTAGGTCTCCACATTCCTTCCAGACTGATGTATACAGTGGTTGTATGAGGATACCATATTGATGAAATATCTCCCATTCCCTTTCATGTGTAGTGCTGGCTTGAAATGTGAAGATTTTTCCAAGAGCATCAATAAAAAACTTTGGATCAACTATGACTTTCTCTTTCAGACCCTCTAGCTGAGGATAATATAGAACAGCACCCAGATCATGATAGAATAAGAGAACCTGAGGTACATCTTCTGGAGAAATATTGCAAGCAGCACCAACATCTTCTGCCTGGGATATACTCACAATATTTTCCTCCAATGCCTGAAGAACTTTACAAAAGAGAACCCAACTGATTGGGGTTTTTACTATTAGCTTATATTTTGTAATTTCAATGATGGCCCTTCTTACTACCTCAATATTGGGATCTTCTGATTCTCCCTTACCAGATGATGTATTATCAATGATGAGGGTATCAGATATTAACTTGACATATTCCTTATTTTTATAGTGAGATATTAACTCAATCTTGACTTGTTCCTTTCTTTCATTTGTTAGCAAGTCTCCATGAGTGCCAATGCAAAACATGCGAGGATAATCAGAAATACTTCCATCTGCCCCATACTTCATTAGGTGACTATGAACACAAGCCATCCAATTGAGCATGTAACTAAGTGTAGACACATTGACCTCTTCTCCATCAAATCGGGCACCATCAATATGATGGACTGACTTCCATTTGCTGTTGAGATCTTTAGAGGCATCAAAGTGGAGGAGGAATGTGGTACGAGAGGTGAGAAAAACTGGTAGGATCTCAAGGAAAGCAGGTTGACCTCCACAATCCCAAAAATGCAATAAAAGATGAGGCTCTAATTGACGAGGTGGTTGAACAACTTGAATTTTGCTAACTTCACCAAGGACAAAATCTAGCTTCCTTCTTGTAGGGTTATTGGTTGGTGCAGTAGTGACATCATCAGGATTGAGAATTGAGCGATACTTTTTTTCTTTGCTGGCAGCAGAGAATAAGTGTGCCATTGCTTCAATTTCAGCTTCATGAGTAACTGCTTCCCATTGCTCATTAAGCAATCCCTTAGCAAAGGGACGAACACAGCTGATATCAGATATAATGGTACTGTTAGCCTTAGGATCCCATGGTAACTTCATAAGAGAATTCTTGAAACTACTCTTCCCAACACCTGCTGTACCCAGAAAAAGAACACGTGAATAAGCAACATTCACCACTTCTCCTTCTGATAGAGCTCTTCTGTATGCAGCAGCTTCAATAAAAACAACTAGACCATAATAAAGTTAGAAATAATAGACTCACCCCTCTATATAAAATGAACTTTTTTAAAAATTACAATAGATTTAGATACTTACTTCCTATATTATGTTGAATATGTGTATCATGGACGAATGAATAAAATTAGATAGAAAGGACAATAGATACACATGTAAGCAATCATCTGAAAATAGATTAGTACTTACTCTCTATTGTGTTGTAAATAAGAGTTTGTGTATCACAAATGAATGAATGAAATTAAAGATAGAAAAGACAATAGATGCACATGTAAACAATCATATGGAATTAAAAAAGATTAGTACTTACTTCCTATTGTGTTGTAAATAACAGTTTGTGTATCACAGATGAATGAATGGAATTATAAATAGAAAGGACAATAGATACACATGTAAACAATCATATGGAATCAAAATAGACTATTACTTACCACCATCTATTGTGTTGTAAATAACAGTTTGTGTATCACAGATGAATGAATGAAATTATAAATAGAAAGGACAATAGATACACATGTAAACAATCATATGGAATCAAAATAGACTATTACTTACCATCTATTGTGTTGTAAATAACAGTTTGTGTATCACAGATGAATAAATGGAATTATAAATAGAAAGGACAATAGATACACATGTAAAGAATCATATGGAATCAAAATAGAATATTACTTACCATCTATTGTGTTGTAAATAACAGTTTGTGTATCACAGATGAATAAATGGAATTATAAATAGAAAGGACAATAGATACACATGTAAAGAATCATATGGAATCAAAATAGAATATTACTTACCATCTATTGTGTTGTAAATAACAGTTTGTGTATCACAGATGAATGAATGAAATAAAAGATAGAAAAGACAATAGATACACATGTAAACAATCGTCTGAATTAAAATAGATTAGTACTTACATACTATTGTGTTGTAAATGAGTTTGTGTATCACAGATGAATGAATGAAATTAAAAATAGAATGGACAATAGATATACATGTAAACAATCATTTGAAATTAAACTAGATTAGTACTTACTTTCTATTGTGTTGCAAATATGAGTTTGTGAATCATAGATGAATGAATGAAATTCAAGATAGAAAAGACAATAGATACACATGTAAATAATCATCTGAAATTAAACTAGATTAGTGCTTACCACCTATTGTGTTTTAAGTAAGTGTTTGTGTATCACAGATGAATGAATGAAATTGAAGACAGGAAAGACAATAGGTACAAATGTAAACAATCATCTGAATTAAAAAAGATTAGTACTTACATGCTATTGTGTTGTAAATAAAAGTTTGCGTATACCAGATGAATGAATAAAATTGAAGATAGAAAGGACAATAGATAAATATGTAAACAATCATCTGAAATTAAAATAGAGTAGTACTTACTGGCTATGGTGTTGTAAATAAGAGTTTGTGTATCACAGATGAATGAATGAAATTAAAGATAGAAAGGACAATAGATACACAAGTAAACATATATATCTGAAATTAAATTAGATTAGTACTTACTTTCTATTGTGTTGTAAATACGAGTTTGTGTATCACAGATGAATCAATGAAATTAAGGAGAAAAATGGCAATAGTATATACATGTAAACAATCATCTGAATTAAAAAAGATTAGTACTTACATGCTATTGTGTTGTAAATAAAAGTTTGTGCATCACATATGAATGAATGAAATTAAAAATAGAAAGGACAATAGATACAAATGTAAATAATCATCTGAATTAAAATAGATTAGTACTTACACTCTATTATGTTGTAAATAAGAGTTTGCATATACCAGATGAATGAATAAAATTGAAGATAGAAAGGACAATAGATAATTATGTAAACAATCTAAAAAAGAGTAATACTTACTGGCTATGGTGTTGTAAATAAGAGTTTGTGTATCACAGTTGAATGAATGAAATTAAAGATAGAAAGGACAATAGATACACAAGTAAACATATATATCTAAAATTAAATTAGATTAGTACTTACATACTATTGTGTGATAAATAAGAGTTTGTGCATCACAGATGAATCAATGAAATTATAAGTAGAAAGAACAATAGATACACATATAAACAATCATCTGAATTACAATAGATTAGTACTTACTTCCTATTGTGTTGTAAATAAGAGTTTGTGTATCACAGATGAATGAATGAAAATAAAGACAAAAAAGACAATAGATACACATGTAAACAATCATTTGAAATTAAAATAGATTAGTACTTATGCTCTATTGTGTTGTAAATAATAGTTTGTGTATCACAGATAAATGATAAAAAGGACAAAAGATGCACATGTAAGCTATCATCTGAAATTAAATAGATTAGTACTTACAAACTATTGCGGTGTATCACAGATGAATGAATGAAATTAAAGATAAAAAGACAATAGATACACATGTAAACAATCATCTGAATTAAAGTAGATTAGTACTTACATACTATTATGTTGTAAATACGAGTTTGTGTATCACAGATGAATGAATGGAATTATAAATAGAAAGGAAAATAAATACACATGTAAACAATCATCTGAATTAAAACAGATAAGTACTTACTTCCTATTGTGTTGTAAATACAAGTTTGTGTATCATAGATGAATGAATGAAATTAAGGACAAAAAAGACAATAGATACACATGTAAACAATCATCTGAAATTAAAATAGATTATACTACTTACGCTCTATTGTGTTGTAAATAAAAGTTGGTGTATCACAG